TTTTTTATTAATTTAAGAATTATTATTTTGTTATTATTTATATTTTATATTTTTATATTATATAGGTATTTAATTTAAAAATTAATTTAAGAAAGAAAAGATGAAAAGTAATTTATTAAGTTAAGTATATTAATAGATGTTACCTCTGGCAAGAGTAATAAGTCTCCTCTCTTCAGCTCGCTCCTGTCGCGCCGTGCTCAGCTTGACGCCCAGAGCACCAGAGACCAGCCGCCTTGCCAATGCTGTGCATGTTTCTGGCCGTTGTCTGGAAACATGTACAAAACAGTTGTTAACAGTTCATTATGACTTTCTTTACGCTTTAGTCATCCTCTTCATCATCAAAAGTCAGTTTAACTCCACTGCTGGCTGCCAACCAGGTCCCAAATAAAAGAGAATTTTCATAATCTCCGCGCTAAGAAGGCGGGTTTGAGACCACTCAGGTCTTGATGGTTTTATTGAAACCTTGCTTGCTTGGAATTCCGTTAGGACTGAAAATATTACATCTTCACTCACCTATAAGGCTGCAAGAATTCAGCACATTTCTTCGCTTTGTTCCTAGACTCTAGAGTGGCAGCGTGAAGCGGTCGACACTTTACTAGTGGACGCTGCGTTGATAACACCTCTCCAGCTGAAAGATTGAATAATAAACATTTAATTATAGAAGAAATGCCAAAGAGAACTATCTCTAAATTTATTTATTGACCCCCTTAACTATGTTAGGTATGCAAAACTATGCAAGTCTTCTAGGTAAGAATAGGTCCAAATTTTAATTAATTTAACACCCTGCTTCTCAGCCAATATCATTATGAATGTTTAATATACTGTGGATGTGAGCATATAATGTAGAAAAACTAATGACTTATTTATGTTTTCCTGTTACTTTTAGTTATAAGTTAGCTGTGTAGTTACAAAAGTACACGAAGATAAGAAATACATTTACTAGTAAAAGTAGTTTTAATACATCCAAGGACCGAACCTTTTCTGGAATTAGTTTCTAATAAAGAATAACATAATGATAACAATATAGATAAACATTCATATAAATAATCTCATATTAATAAATAAAGTACATATACCTATCTCAAATAATATTTTTAATCTGTTCACATTTTTTTAGTCTGTATCCGTTGGCCGCATTCCAAGCATAACCACGCAAAGGTAATAAATGTTTATGCGAACTAAAAATGTGTATAATCTGTGCTACAGGCAACTCCTCAATGTTTAGGTTGAATTACGTGTGAAGGAGTTTATTTGTTTAAATATAATACGAGAGGAGAGAGAAGAGTTTCATGGTCGATAGTTACGTAGGTACTAAATTAAATGTAAACGCTATCTACTCTTTTGGTAATTTTAGTAAAAACTTTACTAGAGAATGGCTAACTTATAGAAGGTTAGTTTTTAATTGTTCAGTTCAATATATAAGTATCACTCGGAAATGGAAGTAGAAAGAAACAGCTGTTTTGTCCCCCGATTAATAAACGTTACGTACGTTATAAGTTGTCTTTCTTTCGGCTTTTCCCAGATCGTTGGATTCTTAGCCATATTCAACTGAATGATACTATTTTATTTGAAGCGATTGCAATCTGTCCTCCACAGTATGCTAAGAGTAGCGCCACATTTGAGTACGGTCCAAATTAGAAGTACAAAAATTAACAGTAATAAATAATTAATCCGAAAAGAGTATTTAAACAAGCTACAGACAACATAACATTGTATTATTAATTGAATAATGATTGTAATAAAAATTGCCCGCCATTACAAGCTCGATTTGACGTACAACAACCTAGATTTTGGCGCGCAACCTCGCAAGGAGGTTCGATGACCCGCGTGACGCAACGCTGCGCCGAGCAAGTAGCACGACGCCCGCGCTACATAGCGTTGAAAGAAGCGACTCTCTGTGGTTACAAAAGAAATTAGATTTAGGAATCCCATTTATGGCAATTTGTGGGTGATTTATGATTAAGTTTTAGGTTTTATTTAAAGGTCGGAGAAGTCTAGAAGTCCTGGAACATATTTGCTTGACAAAATCTATCTGAATCG